ATTCTGTCTCTACTAAAAATACAAAATTAGCCAGGCATGGTGGGGAGTGCCCTGTAATCTCAGCTACTTGGGAGGCTAAGGCAGGAGAATCGTGGAGGCAGAGGTTGCAGTGAGCCAAGATCACGCCATTGCACTCCAGCCTGGGCGACAAAAGCAAGACTCCATCTCAAAAAAAGAATGGGAAGAAGTGCTGATACATGTGTCTGACACTTTCAGTCGATCATTCTGGGGATGCAGGTGGAATCTGTGTCACCCATGAATGGACCCTCTACTTGGCAGGCACTCAAAATATTAAGGTAATGAGGGCTAAGCAGACGTCTTCCAGCGAATGACACCGAAATGATACACCTCTCATCTTTCTCAGGATCCTAATGATTCATGTCACAGGCCCTTTCCAAAGACTGTGTGGCAGCTCTGGAGGAAAACCAACCAGTGATATGACTCGTTTCTGGATAATTGTCATGAGTCAGACCTGGTTGAGTGCTCTGGAGTTTCCAGGCCATTAACTTCTCTGCCTGAACCCTTGAGTCAGGGTCAGTCAGCCCAGAATTGAATGTGTACGTGCTTCCCAGCCCTGTTCTTCCTGCCTGCCCCCCAGCCTTCACACAGGCATTTCTGCAGGCACTCACAAGCCTCCCCAGCCATAGATCCCGGAAAGGGTGCAAGCATGCCTGGCTTAGTCATCCATCCACGGAGGTTTGCACAGCCCTACCTGAGTGCTGAGATCAGGCTGTAAACTGCCAGAATGAACTAAAGGAGGGAAAATAAATATCAGCACTCTCCCAGAAATTTTGCAATCATCAGCTATAGTTTAACTGTGATTTAGAGCATTTGTTTTGTGAATAACCGGATGTGAATAACTTATATGTGAATAACCTATATGTCTGTCCATAGTGATCCATTATGATACATTGTGGTGGTGGCCACCTTGTAATCAGCTACTCAGGAGGGTGAGGTGGGAGGATCGCTTGAGTCTAGGAGTTCTGGGCTGTAGCGTATGATGCTTATACTGTGTCCATACTAAGTTGGGCATCAATATGGCGAGCTCCTGGGAGCTGGGGGACCACCATGTTGTCTAAGGAGAGGTGAACCAGCTCGGGTGTGAAACAGCACAGGTCAAAACTCTGGTGCTGATTAGTAGCAGGGTGGTTCTGTGAATAGCCACTGTACTCCAGACTATGCAACTTAGCAAGACTCTGTCTCTAAAAAAATGTGTGCCCGTGTGTGTATAAAATACATTGTGGTCTATCCAGAGAATAGATGACTATGCAGCTATTTAAAAGAATGAAGTAGAGCTATGTAAGGTGACATAGAAAGGGTCAGTATGGCTGGGCACAGTGGCTCCAACCTGTAATCCTAACAGTTTG